TTCAATCGTGTAAAGAGAGTGCAACTGGCAGCGACAAGCGTGGTGGATCCTGCAACGTAAATCAGCGTATTCACGATAATTCCAAAAGTAAAACCCAATATCTCCAGACAAATCTGATTCGCCTAAATATATCGAATAAAAAGTTTCTGAGGCACAAAACTCCTTCCCCTATTTTTTCTTTTTTTTTCATTTATTTATTCAACGAGGCATGTTTCATGTGAATTCGCCGAAGGATTCACCGCTTCCAACCTAACCTGATCATCCTAAACGGAATTAGGCGTTCGCGTCTAGACAGCATAAGGTCGGTCTGCCTTTGGGGTCTGGCGCCAGTGGTCTACGCTGTAGATGAAAAAATTTGCCAGCGCCCTGGGGTCCTTAACGTGCATCACGCAGTGGTCATGCACGAACGCACGCCGGTACGATGCTCATCCAGGTCGAAGCGGGAGGCGCCGGGGATTGAAGCCACACGCAGGATCCCCGAGTCCTGCAGCGCGAGGTTTTGCTCCACGTACTCCGATCTGCGGTGCGCTAATACACAAGGCCACCGAACCCTAACCTAACCTAACCTAACCTAAGCTAAACTAACTCTGCACCAACAGTGCACATTTTTTCCACTTTGCTAATTTGAAGTCGCGACGTCTGAGCCTTATGAGCTAGACGCTCTTCCTTCTTGTTTTCCCCACGCTCTATGAGGGAAGAAGCATTGTTTGTGTTCCGGGGGTAAAGACCGACACGCGGAGCGGCTCTGTTTATCAACACGGCCGGAAGGCCGCGCATGCGCGGAAGCAATGTGGGCAAAAGCAGCCCGGCTCTCCGTGTTTTCACCATTGTGTCGTGTGGCGTGCGTTCGTTGTTGACGTTGTAAGGACGCTTCTAGCTTTATTTGTGCGTCGTATTTCCTGACAACGTATGTCGTATGCTATGCCCGATTTTTTGAGCTCGCTAGCCGAGCCTGAACGGCAGCGGTATCGAAACAAACTGTGCGCGGACGGCGTTGCCTTCGAGGATCCGTACGCCGCAAACAAGGTCAGCTAAACATCGGACGTGAAGTAGCTGCCACCGAAGTCGACGACTCACGTCGTCGTTTATTCAGTTTTTTCGCCAAGCCAGTTCACGGCTCAGACGGTGCAGACGTACAAGTCTCTCGAGGCGAGTCGGTTTCCGCACTGCCGGCGGGATCAGCAGACTGTGGGTCTGCGATAGTGTGTGTATTCATTAATTGATTAAATACACAGAGCGTCTTCAAGTCAAGGTACGATATTTTTCATACCCTCATGACCACAAGGCATTACAACCAGTAAAGGTTTGTCCGTTCTGCAGTCTTGGCGGTAACAGGTTACAAGTAACGGCGTTACCAGGAACGCGTTACTTTTTTTAGTAACGTAGTAACCTACCCGTTACGTTTTCGACACAGTAACGGGTAACGTACTTATGTTACTATTTCAAGTAACGTAGTCGTTACTAGTTCCCAAGTCTTAAAGAAATTACTCTTCAATTGTTTCCGTGTTTAAGGCGTCAAGCCATGTTTTTCTTTGCGTTTTTTCTCGTAAGTATTTAGGTGAAACCGTAAAATGAGATAAAGTAATTATGTGCAGTTTCTGCATGAACATAATGTTTCTTGATATATGACCTGTATCGTCAAAACCGTAAAATTTGTTAAATCATAATTTAAAAAGGTAACGCAGAAGTAACGTGCCTTACTTTTTTATCGGTAGCGGTAACGTGTTCCTTTTATTTTTAGATAACGTAGCTCAGTAACGCGTACCCTTTATTTGCAAGTAACGAGTGACGTATTTTGTTACTTTTTTTTGGTAACGACTACAACACTGCCGTTCTCTCGCCGATCCCCTTCTGCTTGGTAGCACGGGCGTAGCGAGCCTCCGTCGAGCGCTTGGCCGGTGCTTTGTGCACGAACACCGTGGGAACAAAATCCGGATGGTCTCGATCGGACTACGGTTTCCCTAAACATCAGCAAGCCTCGAGACGGAGATTGAAATTGAAGCCGCATTTGCCTTCAAGAAAGTGATTGCCGCACAAACGGTCGTTCGCGCGGGGCGACCATTCTTTTCGATCCACGAATATTACCAGGGTGACCAGTTCCGCTTATTATAAGCGGATTTGGGCTTCTTTTTTCACCGAGTGGCTGGTAGATTTTTCCAGTCGCTTGTCGCGTTTTTTGGGCTTATTCGTGTTTTCACCCCAAATATTGTTATTTTATTGCTCGTCATGCTCATTCACAGCGTGGTCAAAAACGCGAAAAATAGCATGGCCGTTTGGCGCCGCGGTGAGGTGGCGCAAGCTACCGTCCGTCACAATGTACAAAACAATTACTATCCATTCACAAATGTTTTGGCGCCTTGCCCATCTTGGCCAGTCGGCGGTCACGGTCGTCGTGTCTACTAGTTGCCATTTTATTTTGCGCAAATGGCTTCGAGGTTGTCGAAGCATGGCAAAAGATAGTGTAAAGCGTGGGAAAAGGAAACACAGCTTAAGGACTTGCTGCGACCAGTCACCGGAGACGATAAAAAAGTAGCGTGCAAATGCAAGATCCGCGTTCATCATGCCGACCTCGTTCAACACATGGCAACAGAAAAAAAAACCTGAGGAACTCTCGGCCACTTTCCAGTGCACGTTTGACTACCATGGGCTTCACCAAGTCGTCGCCTCCAAGAACGATACCAGAACTGGAGCTCAAGCTAGCATGTTACTCAGCGTGTCGTGCCACTATCCGGCGGTTAGTGGCATGGCACGCTGACTTTGTATTTGAGCGAGTTCGCCTTCGTATTTGAGCGAGTTCTCTTTCTCATTTTATTATTAATAAACTATTTTCAAGAATATGTACATTTGTTGAACTTCCGCTTGTTTTGGGCTTCTTCACGAAGGTCACGCCGCTTTTTTTGGGTTTCGTTGGGGACGACTATTTGCTTATTCGCTCGGCCGCATCAGGCCACCCTGAATATTACGCACCTTCTGTGCCTTTCAGAGTTCGCCGGGAACTTGTGAAAACTCACTCCTTTCATTTTTCTGTACCTTTCGGTGCAATTAACGGCTACACAGCTTTGCGGCATGCTGGAATGCTATTACGACGGTGACGAAAACACGAAAACAAACGTGGTTCGGGGAGCGGCCGCTCACGACCCAAGCGCTCGCGGACTATCTCTGCCCTTTCTGCTCTGCGCTACCATATTGGTCACCGCTTCGCGCGTTCCTCCTCTCCTTTTTTTGTGCGGCCGCGCTCCCTATGGCTCCGCCGTCGATGTGCCAGGCTTTTTCACACGTTTGCAAGTCCGGTCTCAGGGTGCCGCCATCTTCCCCAGGAGGCTATGGCCTGACTGAAACCATCTGAAAAAACCTAAAGCTAGCCGTGTTGCTAAAAATTGGCAGCGACCTGTACCTTCAAAGCACTCTATAGTGCGTGAAATTTATTATAGGCAATTGGCGAGGGAATTGATGTGTCACGTGACGTATATTTTCCCGCTAAATTTAGCGGGGAAACTCGATTAAAATAGGTTCACGAGACGTGAATATTCCCGCTACATTTAGCGGGTAACTGAACTGGTATGTAGGTCACGCGACGTCAGGTCACGTGACACGAATATTTTCGCAAAGTTTAGCTGAAAAACTGAATACGAGTATAGACCGGCACGCTGTTTACAAACAAACCCGCGTTTGCCCACACCAGGTGTGGGCACTGCGCGTGCGCAGAAACCGGATTTGCATGAAGCGTCCGCGCATGCGCAATGCCGGCGACAGCGCCACCGCAGCTGCGTGACGTCAGAGACGCGTGTTCGTGTATAGACCTTTTCTGCAAGTGCGCCGCCATCTTGAATTGACGTCACTTCCAGTATGGGCGAAAACATTGTTTTGCCTTTTCCACGCCAATGGAAGGCATTTAGGATATAAGCGTAACCGTCACACTTTCTCGTTTTGCCTCCCCTTTATTTTTTTACTATTTGCAGGTTGAAACGTTGGATTATTTTTTCGTCGCCCATACCGGATACGCCTATTAGGTGGCTAGGGACGAGAGTACACAGAAAAGGTCTATGGGGACCCTAAACTCGGCATACACAAAGTTGGAGCCGAAAGTTTGCAGAGCGCGCCGATTGGACGCCGGCGAAAAAAGTGCGAAGTCATCGTCGTGATAGTCCAATCAGTGCGCTCCGTGACCTTCGGCCCCAACTTTGTGTTTGACGAGTTTAGAGCCCTAGGTCTCGTGATTTCAATTTCTGTGCTAAATTCAAAGGGCGGTTGCATGGACGGACGGACGGACAAAATTTTGGGATTGGGGGTGTAGCGTTTAAGAGCATTTCACACTTTAAAATAAAGACAGCAGACTTGAACTGTGAGAGTTCCAGAAAAAAGGACCTAAGAAACGATACCACACGTGCAGAACGACGTGGGGAACTATATATTGCCGCTCAGAGCTCGAAAAACGCGGGGGCGTGGCTCATTAAGGTGCACGCGCTTCCTGATTGGCTCTCTGGTGTTCTTAACGGATGATGCCGCAATGTTATTGGATGGAGAGCGATAACGAGATGCCCGGGACGCCCTGCGTTCCTTAGGCTCTGGATGCGCCTCCTTTGCGAGGATTTTGACATTTAGAATGTAGATTCAGATATCGGCGAATTTCGTTCTATATATGAATCTATATTCTATATGCGTGTATCGATCCTCGTATTTGTATTGGAGAATACAAATACACGGACACAGGCATATCTCGAAGAGACGCAGATACTTATAAATAATACATTAATTTTCCACACATAGCAAAATATTAGAGATTGTCGGGGACTCATCGTGGATATTTGGGGATTGTAAAAAATTAGAGCGTCGCGATACACCTTGGAAAAGAAACATGGAAACACAAAACAGAACGATATCGAGACACTGACACATGTGTTTTGTTATTGTTGTTGGTATTATTATATACCTTTTAGTTTTCACTTTGGTATAAGTTCCTTAAAAGGGCGGCAGCTCAGGTTTGTTCTTTTCGCTTGCAGGTTCCTTGCGATCCACACCTCGAGCCTCATAATGGTTTCGCTCCGGAGACGGCCTGCATCCTTCTCGATAGCGTGCGTCTTCGTCGTCTTGTTGGTGGCCGAAACATTCGTAGCCGCCTACGCGGACTTCAACGGTGAGCGTGGTAATGCAGATTAAAGTCTTTCTTCTTAAGGCTGCCCCTCATGGGGCGAATATTCTGGAAAAAATCGACTAATTTTGCCCGACGGCTTTTGCTCTACGCGTGGCATCAGCACTGCACATGGCTGCTACGTCGCGCGCAAAGCGACCGGGCCGTCGGGTGAAGTTCGTCAGACTTTGCTGTTGAATTTCTCAGGAGAGCGAGCCTTTTGAGAAAACGAGAGTCCAGAGGTACGATGCAGATAACGGTTTCTTAAAAGATTAAACTTCCGCCGCCCCCCCCCCCCCCTTTTTTCCCCCTCTTTTCTTTTTTTCGTTTGAGAGGGACAAAAAAACAATTCAATCAAAATGTCCAACAGGTCGCGTGATACGCGTGTCGGAATGTCCACCGAGACCAACGAGGTAGAGGAGATTGGAGCGATAACCTAACAGCTGAAAGTGACCCCCAACCGGCCGCCGCCATGTTGCACGTTTTTGACCACTAGACACGTGACCTTATAGTTTTATGTCTAGATTTTAACAAAGTACCGCTCACAGATGATTGCTTATCACCGACGAGAAGAGTTATGTTTCGTTTGTTTTAAGTCCAAAATGTTCTTTTACGACAAAAACTCTGGCAGCTTCGGAATGGCTCCGCTTGATGCCGTCAGCCCCGGTGCTGTGTTTTTTTTTTTTTGTTTTTGTTTTTTATCGCAGCTAGACATTGATCTCTGGGGCCAACAGCATTGAGACATAGTTTATCATGTTTTTCACAGCGATCAGTTTTTGCGTAAGTGTCTCAGGATTTGGTACGATCACGTGTCGAAATGGCGGTCAAATTGTACAACATGGCGGCAGTCAAAGGGGGGGTCGCCTTTCCTGGTAAACGGGATACCAGTTTATCGCTCTAAGCACCTCTACATCGTTGACCAAGACAAACAAAATGTCGAAGAGGTCAAAACGTTCACCGAGTAAAAACGCCTTCCGAGTCAGAATGTCCATTCGAATAAAATGGGTGCGCGCATACTCAAACGAGAGTGGGCACCGTTTCGTACAAGGAAGCTAAATTCTCTTGGATTCCTTGAGCTACAGTGATGCCAGTGTCTGGTGTGTAGAAAACAAGCTATAAAACAGCTTTTGAGTCATGTTGGGATTTGCCGGAACCAACGTTAAGCGAGCAACATTATCCAGTCAGAGTTGTGCCAGTAAACAGACGACACGTTTAAACATGAGTGCATGTGTGCACACGTTAATAGATATTATTACCAGAGTTTGAGGCCATAAAACAAAACATCGAAGCAGGTAAGCAATTTGAACGCGACAAAACGACCAACAAGAAACCATTCGTCGAGACAAAACGGATCTATTATTGGGCATTTTGACCTCTTGGACATTTGGTTTCGTTGGACAATCCTTTACCCCTCTCTCTCTATCTCTTTATGGATTCGTACACGCATAAGTACGCCGCAAATAGCTCCTTACTGCTGTGCCCATTGATGCCGTTGCTTGAGCCCGATAGCGATTATGTTTCCTCAATATCATCTTCTCATGGTGTCCAGGAAGTCATATGTATACACTGTAGAGCAGTAACCACTTTTGTCGATGAAACTAAATATCGTAGGGTTAATGCTTTTCTAAATTTTGGGTTTGAAGTAACTGTACACCTTCCATAAATTTATACTGAATGCGTAATGTCGATGTAATCTTCGAGATATTAACTCAAAAGTACCGCCAAAGGTGTGCGCGTTTATTAAGGCGAAATTCTTACTTGTCCCATTGAGCGAAAAAGCGGCATATATGGTCATGAATTACGACTGAGGGGCTCGCGCCGCTCAATCGCATGCTCACGGACGACGCTGCCCTTGGCGTCGTCCTTGAGGTCGTCCTATACCTCTGGGACGACCTTACTTGTCCCATTACACGAAAAAGCGGCGGCGTTGTGCCCGAAAGAAATTGCCCTTGAAGTCATCGAAGAGATCGCCACCGGCGTAGTCTTAGACGCCATCCTTCACGTCGTCCTAGAGGTCGTCCTAGACGCCGTGCGTCGCGCTGATCTCTAGGACGTCGCCCTCGACGTCGTCCTACTCATCGTTCTAAATTTTATTACATTACTCGAAAACATTCTCCAGCGGGACAATAATGCTTTCGTCTTTCTACACGTAAGCAGTCTTGTAATTTTTCATGCCCGAGTGTAATTGAAAGGCTTAAATCATTGGCAGCCGTTGAGCGAGCTTAAATTTCCAGCAAACTTGAAGACTTGAGCGGAGCCGGGAAACCTGATATACCCATTCGTAATTCTAAGCATTTTCTTGTTTCTGGTGGACCGACTGGTCTCACTACGTTTTTACGAAAAATTTCTAGAATGGAAACGACGATTTTCGAGTGGAGCGTTTGTCAAAATGCCGGCAATGGACCAAATTAATGCGGCGCGCCGCCATCTTGCCCATGGCAGAAAACAGGCCAGATGCCGACTTTCGCAGTCGACGCGGTGGTGGTTCGTGTGGTTCATTAATATATACGAAAAGACGTAATTATATCTAACAAAAATTCACAACTTTTACGACACATGTGTATCAAAGTGACTGTCATCTGGATAACAGGAGTACGAGGTTAGATCCCTGTCGTGGATGCAGTTCTAACATTGTGGACTGCTAGAGACCTTGTAGCCTTACATTATATTTCAACGTCAGGAAAATGTGAAGGAGCAGCTTCTTGTGAAGTAGATTATGAAGCTCGACTGTCACACCGAGGTATCAGCATTGCTGATAATTGGGAATTAAAGCATATTGGTTCCTCCGTTGCCTAAGGTAGTAAGGCTTCGCTATATACCTCCGATAGGTGAAAGGCGTTTGGCAACTTCCGGTTCCTTAGGAAATTTTGTTTCACTGTTGACAAACTACGACAATGAGCTACAAGCCTGTGCAAGCATGGATTTGAAACCTCCAGACTGTAGTTTTCAGAACCATTCTTAGACGGGTCTGAAGATTACCGTCGTCTTTTGTCAACAGCTAAAGAAAAATTTCTAAGGAACCGGAAGTTGGCAAACGCCGCTCACCTATTGGTAGGTATAGACGTTTGCAAGCACGGCATCTGGGTGCTGCCATCTTGGTGGTGGTGCGGGTAGATCTAGTGCCACTAAATAAGCTACGCTTCAGAGTAACGACACTTAGCTATATTGTGGCTTAAAATCATGGTTGTCAGTTATCTGAAGCTTTATCTGAAATCACAGGAAACGCTTTTACGTATTTCACAAATGTTTAAACAGTTCGCGGCAAAGCAAAGCAATATTACATCAGCTTCCTAACACCGAATCGAATGCTGAGGAAGTCTCACTTTTGAATCATGACGATCGGAAGTTGCGTCAGCTCTGCATACGAACCAAAATGGCGGCGCCCACAACCATATCGGGGAACGGAGTGCCGATACTCTAAGCGCAGTTCATTTAGTGCCTCTAGGTAGCTCGTCTGATAGTCAAGTATTGCTGAGGCGTACGGTTTCCCGCCATGGCGCCCAAACAAAGCGTTTTTCATCCACGGTGGCGCTCTCGAAGCGCGGCCGCTTGCAAACGTCTATAGACGCTTTGCAGTAACTGAGCATGGGCGCCACCATAGCCGACCTTCAGTTTATGTTTCCTCTTATTCCTTTTATTTCATTTCGTCATTACCATTGCCGGCCAGGTCACTGCCATTGTAGATTTTAGTGCGTCCTTCTCCCTTGTGGGAGAAGGACGCAATAAACGGGCGCTGACGAGCCTCCTTTGTGGAGGCTCGTCAGCGCCCTTTCCAGTGGCTCGGTATCTCGGTAAAACAAGGGAAGGTCGGCATTGGCCGCTGTAATCTGGCGCGTGTGTGAAGCATCTACAGGCGGACTCAATTCTATTAGTTTTTGCATAACCCCCTGAAAAATATGACAAAACTCAAAACTCAAAATGGAGCAACGCTCTCTTGGACACCAGACAAACAGTCTGTTTATCCCAGGAATACAGCTACACGCGCGGAATGCACAAGAAAAATATACTGCTGATGTGGCGCACCAGTAAACGTCTTGGTTCCACCAATGAGCTTGAGTAAACTTAGAGCGATAAACCAGCGACCAAAAATGGCACCCCCCCAGTTGCCGCCACCTTGCCCGTTTGCCACATTAGTGGTCACGTGACGGTAAGATGGCTGCGTCCAGAGGTGCGCCAGATCAGATCGGCAAGGTCAGGGTCAGGAGGACCGTGTTCTAAAATTTACTCGATCTCACTCTAGAGTAAAGGTTCTGTACCTTGGCGTTCGCAAACCTACCCGCGTTCAGTTGCTCTATTTGTCTTGTTAAGTGACATGATCCGCCGGAGTAACTAGCATCTATTCGAGTAAGGTTGGAACACGGCCCCGGACGGCCCATCTGTTGACCGCAAATCTGATCTGGCCCACTTCTGGGCGCAGCCATCTTGACGTCACGTGATCATTAAAAAGAAGCTAGGGAGGTTTTTGAAAAGAAAAAAGAGTTATAAAAGTGAATTATTATGTATTTTTACCCCGTGAACCCGAATACCCAAATCATTTGCTGCGCAAGTATTGTTAAACGTGAAAAAAACGCGAAAGACAGTCGCTGTCCGTGACGTCATTGACGGATCTTTTGGCTGCCCAAGGCTAGGGAGGCGGGGCTTCAGCCCTATTTTGAAATTGCTCTTCTGGCTCTCCGGCGCGTCGCTTTTAAACATAATTGTGATATCTGTTTTTTTAATGGCCAAATGAACGCCATACACGTGTTTTTTCTCAAATGCAGAAGTGCCCCATCTTCCCTTTAATGTAGCAAGCAGGCAAGATGGCGGTAACCGGGAAGGGGGGCGGGTGCATTTTCACCTAAGGCCGTGGGTTCCGGTTTACCGCTCTAAAATAATACTCAAGCTCGTTGGGTTCCACCCGTGGTACTCTGATTTCCTCGCATGCCAAAGTGACCTGCTCGCACCACAGGAGTGTTTTAGTTCGTGGCTTAGAGCGTTTCTCACGCAGACATGCGTGACCTGGTCGAGCTGCTGCTGAAGAACGAACAGGAGTCGCAGCTCAGCCACACCATGGAACGCAAGGGAGGCCGCTCGCCGTCGCTGCGCCTGCGCTTCGGTCGTCGCTCGGACCCAGCCTGGAGCGACACCCTGCACCGCTTCCTGACGGCAGGCAACGCTGGGGGAGACTCCGGCCACTCCGCACCGGCCGCCTAAAGGCCTACACGGACCATGTGCATCGGCAACGGGCAGCGCGGAGCGCGACTTCCGGTTCTCCGCGCGCTGAACGCCGTCCTGCTCGCACCAGTCCCCTTTGACTCCGGACCGTGCAGCCGGGCCAAGAAAGAAGCGTCCGGGGCAGTCTTCTGCAAGTCTTTAACACGCCTGAATGTGCTGTAAATTTGTCGACAAAATTTTGCTAGAACACATCTGAATGCTTACTTGCGTTATGCTTTTGAGGAGTGTCTTCGCAAACTTTTTGAGATGTTGCCGCGCCCGTTGAGTTCTTATCCGAAGAACTGTAAATCATTCACCGGCCACGTGTATTGGGATTCATAGAATAAATTGCTGGTTGTACGTTGGAGCTCTCTTTTTTGTTGTTGTTGCCGTTTTACGTTTTTAGGTGAATGTTTCGTACACTGCGGTTCAAGAAAATGTGTAAGACCGGTCCATATCGGTGTCTGGTGTTATACAACGCCAATAAGGACGAGATAAGGGGGTGAGCGGGGGGAGGGGGGAGCTGACATTATCAGCACGTTCGGCTACCAAGGTTCCAGTTTTTCACAGTGAACTGCGGCCACAAACACGAAGAAACCCCAGAAATTTCACGTATGCACTGCTGATCTCACAAAACAAGCACTTGCGTATGTTTGCCCCTTTCTATGCGTTCCTTAGTCACAGGTTTTAATAATTATGGTGTCACCAGCTTGCATGTTTTTAAAGGGCCATTACAATATTTCTGTCCATGACCTGCGATTAAAATGCAGTAAATTTTCTAAATTTGAACGTACAGTGCGATCTACACAGCGCAGCACTGTTAGTGCAAACAAACGATTGCCAGTCAGTTACAAACCAAGCAATATGCAAAGAAGAAAAAAGCGTCAGTGTCACTTCCGCGCTAACAGTGTCGTGCAGTCATCAATTGAATACTTTTTTTACATTTTAAATAGGACCTATCTAAAATTGATACTGGCTAGCACTAGCAGCTGTTTTTCACTAAGAGTACAACACGCGGCACTGATAACTGGAGACGCTGCCACTGCCGGTGCTCGGCGCGCCGAGCGCCCTCCTGCTCGCACCAGTCCCCTTTGACTCCGGACCGTAGCAGCCGGGCGAAGAAAGACGTGTGCGGGACACTGTCCATACGACTGTCATCGTAGCGAGTGCAGATGCCGACGATCTCCTATTGAACAAGAGTTTGGCTGCAATTACCGATCATTTCACAAGCGACAAAGTTAACGATTTTAATGTCGCCGTGAGTACGCGCGACAATTAAAGAGTCACAAATCCGCCCTGAAAGCTACCTCGAGTATTCAGCATTGGAAAGGACGGCGCGTTACCCAGTGCCAGTTAACTTTTCCTACATTTAATATGGTGTATGCATGCACTACTTCGTGCATCTCGCGTTGGAAGTGTTTGACTCCATCGCGTTTTACGGTAATTATATATTTGTTGCTCACAACTGCGGATCTCTCGAGAGAGCGAAAAGGACATCTGGTGAGAGAAGCATACCCCATAGAAGCGGGCGAGCGCACACAGCTCTAAACAGCAGTGATGGGCCAGCTACGTTCTTTAGAGCTTGTTTTCAGCTATCTAAAACAAACAAAGAAAGAACAAAACGCCCTAGAGTCGTTTAGAAAACCCTTCAGCCGGGGTCACACTGCTCATTAATCAAGCCTGGTAGTTCGATGACGGAGCCATAGAGTGCCCGTTTGCAAATTTGGAGCGTGAGGATCTGGTAGCACAGGGCACTTCTCGGAGATTCTGGTATCCAGCGCACAGCTCTTGCAGCGGCGACGACCCGAAACATGGTTTTCAAACCCGACGAGAAAAGAAGCGGTAGCCCGAGGAACGCGAGATGCACGAGCGGACATTCCATCGCTCGGGAAGAGTATGTTTCGGCGTCTCGCCGCAGCGGGGCGCCCGTTACATGACTCTTGTCTGCCCCTCTACCTTTTCACTTTCGGTGGCAGCGTCGCGTTACGATCTGCCAGGCTTTCTCAGTATAGAGGAGGCTACGATCATGCAAAAGACAATCGGCAAACACGAGCCACCACAATATACGTGGTTCGAATGCCGCGTGCCGAGTTTTCTCCTTAAACTCATTGCCACGCGGCATTTGAAGCACGAATCTCGCGGTGGGTCGCGTTCAAATCTGTATGCAGACTGTGTTTTGTATAATCTATAAGCAGTGTGACCCCGGCTTTCAATGCCGTGCATTCTGAAGCTTCGTACACACATGCGGTTAGCGCGTGCATTCAGTTCTTCCGTAAAGGAGTAAGTTCGCACTCTTTAGACTGATCAGGAAAACAAGGGATCTTAGCGACTCTGCTGGTGGAGCGACGCACAGCACTAATAAAGCGTGAATCCGAGTGACCTCTGGGCAGCGGTATCGGAACAGAAGCGATGTACAAACTATATACCGGGTGAAACAAGGAGACGGTAGGCTCCTTAAATCGACCGGAAAATTCGGTTTCTTAACCTATCGCGCTACGACTTTGTGCAGCGTTGCCCACAGATGGTGCATTTTTTTTTTGTAAAATTTGCAAAGAGCGAACTTACCTGAGGAAAAACTAAAGAAAGAAAAAGGCTTAGCTCCTATGGAAACGCAGCGACGCCACCGGTCTGCAATCAACACGGCGCCGTTTTGCACAGTAGACAAGAGATGGCGCAACGAACGCCGCCAACGAACGAACATACGGGCGCCGAGAGCCGGCCGAGGTATTCCTCAAAGGCTCTTTAGCAGACAATCTTTTCGACTCAAAAGCGGCGCGCGTTCCGCAGGCGGCGACAGTCGCAGAAACAGAAAAGACAGGCGCGGTAACAACAAGGAACTGCAGTTCCTTGTCTGCTAATTACGCCGGCTCTCGGCGTCGTCTGCTCGTTCGTTGGCGGCAGTTGGCGTCGCGACCGCTTGCGCCATCTCTTGTGTCCCGTGCGAAACGGCGCCGTGTTGATTGCAGACCGGTGGCGTCGCTGCGTTTCCATAGGAGCTAAGCCTTTTTCTTTCTTTACTTTTTCCTCAGGTAAGTCCGCTCTTTGCAAATTTTACGAAAAAAATGCACCATGTGTGGGCAACGCTGCACAAAGTCGTAGCGCGATAGGTTAAGAAACCGAATTTTCCGGTCGATTTAAAGAGCCTACCGTCTCCTTGTTTCAGACCTTTTCACCCTCCACCGCATGGGCGCTGCCATCTTGGAATCACGTGATGCGGCCGCCATTGGGTTGCTTCAACTTGTCGCTCCGCTCTCCCGTCCGCGCCTTGGCGGATGCGTTGAATTCGTGTTTTTCGTCGCGTTTCACCGCGTCTCTTGCCTTACTCCGTAAAGTGTCGTCCGACACTTCTACTTACCATGCAATTGCATTACATCATTTTGCGCGCAACTTCTGTAATTGATTTTGTAACACGTTTTGAATATTTTTTACCGTCGGCGTGCGGGATACGTGTGAAAAGGTTTTATAGGAACAGGAATCAGCGTTAGCACTTGCGCACATTGAGAACATATAGGACTTGAAGAGAGCCTCGAGGGTTCAAATACCAATAACTTATGAGAACTGAAGTTTGGTTACTAATAAGGGCGGAACATTTGCAATAGGAAGCCCAATGTTATTATATATATATATGAGTGCGCATTGGTGTCAAGGAAGAAAACAAAACCACTCAGCGTAATTAGCCACGTGTTTTTCCTCAAAAAATGGTGTTTTGTAGTTCCAACAGATCGAAAACAGTTTCTTTTGATTACACTAGGGAACTAGTGGACAGGGCGCGGGAACAAACATTTAGTTTGAATAATTTTTTATGCTAGAAATAATGGTACCTTAGCATTAGGCAACTTGTTTGTTCGCAAAATCACACCTATATCTGTTTTACGTTCTTAATCGCGTGTGTGATATAAGCATTCGCTTTATCGGTTTATTTATGAATACCACGGAATTGTATATCGTGCTTGGTCCCATGTCCATAGTTTTCAGTTGCTTTAGTAATTTTTTTAATATCACCATGCAGTTTCAATTAATTTATTTCAACACAAATAATTGGACTCCCCGCGTAAGAAACTACCACAGACAGCATGATATTGCCTATGATTCATAAAATGTGACGCCGAAAAGAATCCTTCTGCATGAAAATCACCGGAGTGCAGCCAATTGTCGACGGCGCATAGGGAGTTACTTTCAGTAGATGGCGACGTCAAAATGTGCAAAGAGCATCGTTTCAAATCAGTGAACAGCTTTCTACACAGGTTCATTGGGTGGCGCCTGGCGTTCGACTTCAGCCAAACTTATCGGAAATCATTTCTTTTGCGCTCTTCAATTTCATTCGGCAAATTTTACGTAAAATGAATATCAGACTTTATTTGAAGCTGGCATTCACTTATCTTACCATTCTCATACCTTGAGAACGTCGTAAGCAAATGTCCAAATGACAAAAAGTTTATTTCATAAGGCCAATATTTTGAAATGCTGTAAATGAGTACTTTAGTTAAAGAAATTTTATAGTCAGCATAGGCTGGTCTATCAAAATATTTGTCGAGAGCTTAATTTCTTTAAATAAAACAGGCCGAGACAATATCACTTTTTTTATATTATCTACGTGATTATATTAAACTCGTCTAGTCATTAAAAAAGACATTTCCAGTCTCGAAGTTAGAAAAGGTTGGTGTACGGAAACCAAACATCGAACAGTAAACTTGTCAGTTCATCTGTTCTTGGTGATTCAGCAGATTGTTAATCATGTTGTCGACCTGATTTTTCACTAAGCACTCATGCAATATAGTCTGTTGCAATATAAGATGATCAGTTCAATATCTGACTTGAGCGCGAGCTATCTACTTCCGTACCGCTCGGTGCACGCACAGCCAAAGCACGGCGGCAGGCAACGAGCGCACTGTGCAGGCGGAGCTTGTCCTGCTCTTTATTTTTTTTTTTTCTTGAAATTAGTGTCCGCGGGTACGGCCGTGGACAATGGTACCCCTCCCTGTGCATCAGCGCAGTTGTTTCACCGCCGAACCTGGCCGAAATTAATGATGGACGGAATCAGACGCATATAGTGTTCGTAAAAAAAGATCGCAATTTAGGCTCGAAACCACTTCGTGGTTTGCCAAGTGGCTCAATACTATTGTTTCATTCGCTGTGTGCTACTAGAAAGAAATTCATATCGCAAAATTAATCGAAAGTGGCATAAAACAGCATCACAATCGCGTGTACGTTGAAACCGAAACCGACCAAATTGAAGCAACCTAATGGCGCCAAGTGCGCCAGCGCCCTCTACCCGCCGGTCAGGCAACTACTGTAATGAAAAGGTCTATAGATACACGGTGGCGCCGTGGTTGGCACGCCAGCCCATGCCTGTAGTTTTAAAACGCC